TCCGTCAAAAAAGGGTAAACTACATTTTTTGCTAGCGGTGCCTTTAATTATTTTCGAGGAGAATCTATCCATCTGAACTAGGGCAATTTCTGGCAGTAAAAGGAAGGGTTAGAAGCTCGAAAGATATCACTACAGGATACAGTATCAAACATGTCATGGGTAGTGGACAACGCTGAACCGCTGCTCGATTTTGAGAGGCCGACACTTCACAAAGTTGTTCACGTAGGTGGTTTGAGTGTGCATAAACCCAAACCACTGAACAAGGTATTTTGTTTGCTCTCACTTTGTATTTTCCTGAACTGAATCCTTTATGCAATTCATGAGTGGGATGATATACTGAATCGGAGATCCCACACAGTATTGATCTCGTTCGGGAGTGTTGCTCGAAGTGCACTCATGCCCGATCCGATGAAGAAGACAGTCCTCGATGTGATTAAATCGTGAGTTCTTCAGGAAATTACGCTTGAAACGTTCTCGTTTATCCCATAAAGATAAAAATCGGTTTCATTGCCGGAACTCGGGGCAATGTAGAAAAAATTCCGATGTACCTGCATTTAATCTGGAAAAATTGGATAGTATGTTGCATGCCTCAACCATACTCGCTGAAGACCGACGAAAGTGGTGTCATTTCATTTTCGGATTGAGCAGACTGGTGAAGCATTGACGTAAATAGGCATTAAATAGGCATTCGATAAATTCTGTTCCCTGTTCTCTTCAACATTCTGTTCTCTGACTATGGCTGCAGCACGAGTATAACAGTAAGTGAATAATGGTTCCACGATGGATTTCGAGAACAACAATATTCTAGTTGGTCATTTCGGATTGGAAGAGATAACGCACAGGCCACAGGCATTGCAATAGTCGGAAAAAGCGGTGTGCTCGAAAAATACATGTGCCGATTAGTTCCATCTGAAGTCGAAGTTCCGTTCAGAACTCGCCAACCTTGTGAAAGTTTCGGATCGTGTATTGCGGCGGAATAGTAGCAAAAATTATATCTTGTTCAGTTCAATTTGTCAGCGTTGAGTCGGTGCATATCCTTTCTATTTAGGTATCCGAATATAACCTTCATTTGGAAATATGAAGAACCTGACGACAAAATGTTCAAAGCAATTGGGAACGTGATACCTACTAAATGGATGCCGCAAGGCGATTTGTTAGGTAAAACCACAATCTGAACAGTGTTTCGTTTTCCATTTCTACTGGTTCTCCGCCATCGATCAGATGGAAATCCCCAAATTCCTCTATACACTGTTCACGTATGACATTTATCTTGTTCATTATGTCAAATGAAAATTGTTCGGAATCGCGCATACCAGAATCATATCCATCTCGTACATCTCTGAGGTTACTGTAATATGAAAGTTCCAGCTGACAATCGTCTGACCCTGTTCGTTACACATGGTGGCGTGAACAGTATGATGGAAACAGCAACGCTTGGGAAGCCTGTCATCACGATCCCATTATTCGCTGATCAGAGCAAGAATGCGAAATTGATGCAGAAATATGGCTTTGGTATGTGATTGACTACGGAAAATCTTTTAAGTTCTCAAAGGCAAATATTTGAAGCTTTATTTATTATATAAAGACTAGATATATTATTCCATAATTCCTTGAAGGGCGGAGGTGGTGTAGTGGCAAGTGGCGCATTATATCACACGCACG